GCCTGTAATCCCAGCACTTTGGGAGGCAGAGGTGAGAGGATTGCCTGAGCCCAGGAGTTCCAGACCAGCCTGGGCAACTTGGCAAGACCTCATCTTTACAACAAATCAAAAAATTAGCTGGGCATGGTGGTGCGTGCCTGTAGTTCCAGCTATTTGGAAAGCTGAGGCAGTAAGATCATCTGAGCCCAGCAGATCGAGGCTGTGGTGGCTGTGAGCGTACCACTGCACTCCAACCTGGGCAACAGAGCAAGACTCTGACTAAAAAAAAAAAATAGCACCGGCACAGAGTCAGAGTCAGCACTTTCTAAGTGTTCTTTTTACTTTTAGAGGAGCTGTTGTCCAAATCTGCATCATACGGTATATCCCCCTTCCATCTGCCCTGTGTACACAGACATCTTGAGTTAGGGCTCCTTTTTTTTTTTTATTTGAGAGAAAGAGTCTCCCTATATTGTCCCAATTGGACTCGGACTCCTGACCTCAAGAGATCCTCCTGCTTTGGCCTCCCAAAGTGCTAGGCTCACAGGCATGTGCCATCACACCCAGCGTCTTTTATTTTGTTTTATTTATTTTTTGAGTCAGGGTCTCACTCTTTTGCCCAAGCTGGAGTACAGTGGCATGATCATGGCTCACCACAGCCTCCAACTCCTGGGCTTTCAGTCTTTCTACCTTAGTCTCCTGAGAAGCTGGGACTACAGCTGTGCACCATTACACCTGGCTAAAATTTTTATTTTTATTTTTTATTTTTGGTAGAGATGAGGTCTCACTATGTTGCCCATAGTGAGACTCCCGGGCTCAAGCAATCTTCCTTCCTGCTTCAGCCTCCTGAGAATCCAGGAAGGGCCTCCAATTTTGGCCCTCAGAGCAGAACCAATAAAGGATTTATCTCGTGGGACTGAAGAGGGGCAGAGGAGGAAGTGGATGGATTAGAGAAATAAGGAAGAAACATCAGCTTTGGTAGGTGAGGGAGGGGCAAGGAAGAGGCCTGGATCGCTGGGTTTTAAGCTTCGGTGATCAGCGGCAGGCAGGGGTGGGTAGAGGTGGGAAACAGAAGTGTCATTGACCAGTGTGGCAGTAGGAGCAAGTTCAAGAGAGATGAAGCTCAGGATTGGATGTGGGTCCTCTGGTGCCTTGGGCTGGACTCCCTGGATTGCCCTGGTGGTGGCTTGCAAGGCTCCACACTGACTGTCTCCCCACCCACCATCTCCCCTCCCTAGTTCAGATGTGGCCCTTTTGCTATTTCTCAAACACACCAGGCAAGTTCCTGCCTCAGGGCCTTTGCACTCACTCTTCCTCCTGCCTGGAACACCCTTCACCCCGGATGTTCACAGAAGTAACTCCCTTCTCACCTTTGAGCTTTGTTCAAATGTTCAATGGAGTTTTGACTTCTGACTACCTTATTTAAAATTGTGGCCGGGCTTGGTGGCTCAGCCTGTAATCCCAGCACTTTGGGAGGCCGAGGCAAATGGATTGCCTGAGCCTAGGGGTTCAACACCAGCCCAGGCAACTTGACGAGACTTCGTCTCTATGATAAATAAAAAATTAGCCGGTTGTGGTAGCACGCGGCTATAGTTCCAGCTAGTTGGAAGGTTGAGGTGAAAGGATCACTGGAGCCCAGCAGGTCAATACTGGGGTGGTCGTGAGTGTGCCACTGCACTCCAGCCTGGGCGATAGAGTAAGACTCCGACTCAAAATAAATAAATAAAATTCTACGCTGCCCCCAAACAGACACCCCCTTCTCTTAGCTATTTTTCTCTTTACTACAGCATTTATTTATTTTATTTTTTTGAGTCGGAGTCTCATTCTGTCGCCCAGGCTGGAGTGCAGTGGCATGCTCATGGGCACTGCAACCTCAACCTGCTGGGCTCAGGCAATCTTTCCGTCTCAGCCCTCCAAGTAGCTGGAACTACAGGCACATGACACCATGCCCGAATAACTTTTCTGATTTATTGTAGAGAAGAGGTCTTGCCAAGTTGCCCAGACTGGTCTTGAACCCATGGGCTCAGGCTATCCTCTCACCTCGGCCTCCCAAATTGCTGGGATTATAGGTGTGAGCCACCACACCCGGCTGATGTGCGTTTTAAATAATGCTTGCTAATATCTAATTTTTCCTCCTAACGTGCAGCAATTTATGCTTCTACGAATGTCACATGAGAGCTCCCTGCCTCCTGTTCACCAAAACCGGTCTTCTTCCACCTTCTAATGATTTGCCACTTTGAGAGGGGGAAATAGCATTATGGAGTGATTCACCTTTCTCTCATAAGAAGTGAGGTGCAGTATCTTTTCAGCCATATCGCTTTTGCTAAGGTTTTAACATTTTCCTCCTCGGAGATGCCACAGACACCAGCTGTGGGCCCCTTGATATCCTCCACTGGATCAGGCAGAGCTGAGACCCACTGGGGGCACAGCCCTTCCAGAATGCTACCAACACTGGATATATTTAATTCTTCTCCAGATATACCATGGTATCAATTCCTTCCCTCATCAAATGCCGACCCAAGGGACTTCTCTGTGTTTTTGTTTTTTAGTTGGAGTCTCACTCTGTCACCCAGGCAGGAGTGCAGCAGCACACTCAGGACCACCGCAGCCCC